CCAAATTCTGGCTTGGCCCTCATTTCCTTAAGATACTTGATAACGTGAAAGTGACAGATCAGGATTCTGGCCTCCGGAAATTTCGATTCCAACACGCGAATCTCGTTCAAGTCTTTGTCCACGACAATGACTCGTAACAGATGAATCCGCGTAGGATGCGAGCGTTTGAAGTGCTCTACGGTCCTCTCCATATGCCAATCGCCATTAGCCTCAATCAGGGACTGCTGAACGACTGTTCCCTCGCCAAATTCGTTCATTGCCATGAACGTGAGAAGCTGATAGTTGTATCTGTGAATAATCATGTAAAATCCTGGTCAGTACATGATTAATCCTGGACATATCTCAACAACAAACCTGTTGGTCTTGTGACTGCAGTCGACGAGTAGAAGCTCACTGAACCTGCTGTAAACGCGACGCATGTGCTTTGACACGAGCGATAACACTCCCGTCTCTCCACAGGGCGTCTCGGACACAGTCGAAACGTTTTCAGGGTCAGCCGCCTGGAAAACTGCAATCTCCCTTGCTGTAGCGTCGTTATCGTCCGCGTTCGAAACAGATGATGCATGGACTCTCACCAGATTGTCCACGTCGCTCTGGATGACGTTTTCGTCATGATCCAGCAGGTAATCGTAGATTCCTTCGACACGAGCACCAACCAGCGGGTCCATTACACCTCTAGAAGCGGGATAAGTCGCGAATGCAGCTGGAGACACTGGATGATTGTGAGCGAAATGCCCATTCTTCACCTGCAGCTCACCTCGAACAAGATTCCACTGCACCACGAACCTGAATGGGCAATTGGTGAGGCGAATGTGCTGCCGCGGCCGACTTCCTTCATTGCGGGACTTCCTCTTTTTCCACCCGTGCGTGCAAATGTATGTACGCTGGTCCGGGTCGAAGCCTTCGGGCACCAACTGCGACTCGTCTTCCCCCTTCTTCGTTTTCTTGAGTCTCTTGTTGCGCTCCGCCCTGGACATGGTCTCCTTCACAGGAATCACTTGCAGCGTCCTTTGACAGTAGTCCTCGAAGTACGATTGCCAATCCTCCCAGCTCGCGTGATATTTCACTGGCGGCTCCACAATCTGTGGAACAGAAGTACGTTCACCATCATCTTCCCCGTCACCATCTGTTTCCGACACACGCCCTGCTTCTTCTTCTCGCCCGGCCTCTTCATCAATGCCATCGCCATCATTTCCTCCCATTTCGTCGTCGTTACTGCAGGTCTGACCGGGTTCACTCTCTCCAGCATCCGAAGCGTTGTCTCCGCCGCCAACTAGAGTGTCTGGAGCCGTCGTCGCACCATTGCGTCTTTTCGCGGCGGTTGCATCAGCGCCAACCGCGTCCTGCGGCATCTTATCGGGAGACGGCTCAAATAGAAATGAGAAGCTTCCGAATTTATTTATTTCGGAAATAACCGAAACCGTAATGAATG